TCTTCTTCTTTTCTTTTTTACATTGTATATTATGTTTGTTTTATATGTCTATTTATATTATGTTGTAAATGTTCTGAATATATCATGTTTTTATTGTGAATTAGGAGAATAAATACATCAAAATGAAGGAAGAGGAGAAGAAGAAAACAGAAAAGGGAACAGAAAATAAGAAAAAGAAGAAGAAAAATGAAAAGTAGAATAAATTTCGAGTTCCACGATTCGGAAAATTATTCAAAACCCAAGGCAAACCAAGAAAATATATTTATTTCTGATCGCCAAATAATCCTTCCAAAAGCGGATCGCAGTCAAAAGCCGAATGTCTGCAGTGTCACAAGTAAGTGGCCATATCTCGATAGTGGTCATGCACTTTGTCTAGCTCGCGAGAGAGAAATGTGTGTTGTAGAACTTGTATAGAAAGACCACCTGTCTACAGTGGCAATTTTTTTCTGTTTCCCTGGGGATGCATTAATAAACAGGTTTAATTGAAGTATCTGGAGAGAAAAAATATATTCCGTCTGTATAGACTGATATCATCTCATTGACTTTGGCAATAGAAACAAAATATTTCAAAATAATACCGGTATTGTCATTTTTTAAAGCTTTTATTTGATAAATTTCTTTGACATGTTTGATTATTCATTAAACATTGAAGTGCAAAATAGTACTTTTTTAATGCGTGTAAACAGACTGCAATAATAACATGGTAGCATATTTGCGTTTCTACTCGATGCAGGGATATTGCCTATACATTTAAAAAAATATATAAATGAGATGAATTAAGCACGTTAGATAAACAGAGTGAAAGAAAACTGGCAAGCTCAATCTGCACTTTAAATCACAATCCATTTCAGTAAAATTAAGTCCTAAAAACATGTTGAAGAAACAAGTGCAAGATGAAACCATAGTAATCATGTGAGCATCAAATAACAAACAACATTGTCTGTCATATCTTTACCAAAGATAATGAATTGGGATAATGTATTCCATAGAGTGGAGTCCTGTTACTAAAAAAAATAATATTAAGTTCTAGGTTCAATATTACAATGTATCATCATTGTTTCTCAAAAATCTTTAAAAAATCACAGAATCATAAAAGGTACAAACTTATTACAAAGGCGGGAAGGAAGTTACACCATGAATAACTTCCTTTGAATGTCTCCCTCTAATGGTCTTGCTGATATAGGTCGAATTAAACAATATAATGCAAAAATAGATGGATTATCTTGACAAGGCAGTACAATAAAATTGAGATCAATTGGCAAATGATAAAGGCATACAGGTACTATGATATTTTGTTCTTACAGTATGCACCAAAACATGTATGATTATGATTCTATTACCTAACAAAATATAAATCTGAAGATAGACAGTTTTCATAAAAAGTTTCATAAAATAAAATGATTTGAGTACATGCAAGTAACCTGATTATTTTGTTGTTGTATTGAATGACAACCAGATAAGATATCTGTATGAACAATTAACAATTTACATGAATCTGTATGTTAAATGTAAAATGACCGAAGTCCACATATCCATGCATTACAAAATTTAAACATTTATAATCTTCATTTGATTGTTCATGTGCAATATAATTCTAGTAATCTATCAAAATATAATTTCATTGAAAATTGACTCTTTGGCTGAATTTGATATTTACACCTCTCACCTCATGAAATCAAGATTTAGTCAGATCACCCATCTAAAATAATAAATAATTCATGAGCTTCAGTACATAAAATGAGTTTGTAAGTATATATCCTATTGGCTGATGAATCATGTTCACATGACATCTAAAGGGATATCCAACCCAAATAGACAACTACCGGTACTCTAAAAAAAAGCAATCTGATGAAAGTTTCAATTAATTCTGAGTAAATATAAGAAAGTTATGAATTTTTGAAAGTTGTAATCACTATATCGTCCCTATTTTCACGAAGTGACGGTAGTGAGGAAAATCGTAACGCAAAGTGAATGCAATTTTTTTTCACTACCGTCACTTCGTGAAAACAGCGACGATATGTATGGGCACTTAAAGTTGACTGAAGCAGTAATGTCAATGTGATGTAGTGCCGGACTACTTTCCCATCTGTTTATTCTGTTCAAACACATAAGGAACTTACAAGAAAAAAAATTAATATTTTTCTACACAGCAAATGGGAGAGCTATCCACGTCCTACGTCACAATCCACTGACCGAACTACCAATTTGAGTTTCGCATAGATTAAACTAAAGTGATCTCATATTTTAAACATTCATAACTTCCTTATTATTGGTCCGAATCATTAAAAAATTTGCCATTCTGTTTCTTTTATTTTTCTGCTTTCATACAAATCAACGTATTACAAGGGTGGGATTGCCCTTTTAAGTATTTCTTTATGGTGCATTAGCTGGTATCATTAACTTCAAGTTTAGCACATGAGCAAAGTGTGCATCTATGCTTCCCATCATACGTAAAACAAATGTTACAATTTTCTGCACTGTTTTTGTTCTGTGCTGTAGACCAATGGAAGCAAATTAATAGTGAATGGGGAGTTAAGAGAAGCAAGGCATATATTTGTGAATATCCTCATTATCGTATCCCCTAACAAATTTTACATGCACATCTTCATTCTGTATACCGTAACATATATTCCAATCAAAATTTTTAAAAATTCCCTCATGCAATATCATATCTAATCTTGGCCAAAGAACTAAGACTTAACACTCACAAAATGCTGAATATCAGTTAATATTTTTGCCTAAGAGCAGAGCAGAGCATGCGATATTCACAAAATAAATAATACATGTACTTAAGTAATATATATATACATAATACCCTAGATTTAATACTGATTTAAAATCAGTTTAGTACCATTATATCATACTGCTATCATTTGACTTGCTGCATAATTGAGATTCTGCTGATTCTGCTGAAACTGAAGACACCTGTAAATGGCTTCAACAAAAAGACAATCTAAGAGGTTCAAACAACATTATAGTTACCAAATATCAATGATAGACTTAACATAGCACCATTTCATATACAAATATTAAGAGACTGAAGTACTAAGTATAGACTGAAGTACTAAGTATAGACTGGAGTACTAAATATGGTCTTTATCAGTTTAAATTATTGAATAGATTTCATAAACAGTTGCATGCACATGAAAAAGAATAGCAGTACAGTATTCAAATACAAAAATAAAAATTTGTTGGGGGTTACTCTAACTCTGGAAAGATAAAAGTGCATAAGGAATTTTTCAAATCAATAGTGAAATTCCTCATGTATTAAAAAGGAGTGAGTATTAATGGGTTTCTTTGTTTTTTTCACAGAAAGCTGTGAAGGTCCATTTTTTTAAAATCTTTAGTGAAATTCCTCATGTATTAAAAAGGATTGAGTATTAATGGTTTATTGTGAGATATAAAGAAAGCCTTGAAAGGTTCAAAATTAGCAATTATCCAGGTGCCAATGGCCCCTAAAATCCTAGGGGCAACCTTACACTCCTGCTTGTTGCCCATTGGCAACTGCCCCTGTGATGTATTTGAGTTCTGATGATTTTTAAACAGCTCACTCTACATGTACACTAAAAAATAAACGGGTGGTTCCATGCAAAGTGTCTTGTAAGGCACGATGTGATATTCATCCATGAATCAAAACATCTCTTGATAATGGTAGACTAAAGGTACCGATACCAGAAAGGAGCAGTATTCAACAGTCATGCCAAGAGATTCTTCACGTTTGGATGGAATATGTGGAAAAAGGACATATGTTGTAACGCCCCAAAAATTGAAATTCGCAACCTAAATAATCAACTAGGTTGCCCAGTTGGCAACCAAACTAACCACTTGGCCCGGCCCCCCACTCCAGGGTCGGAGGGACCCCATACTTTTTCATGGACAAAGTCAGGCTCACCATTGACTTTCACACAAGAGATAAGGAGCGGACTTTCAAATAGAGGGAACATGCATATAAATAACTAAATAACACCGAGTTTGGGAGGGGGGCGGGCCACTTGGGTAACACCTTATGTACTAAGAACAGGATCATATTGCACCTAATGAAATATTGTTACTGTACCATCTTACTCATAGATATTAGATACACATGTATTTGCACAGCTGGGATTGTATATGAGCAGTAATTTGAATGCTTTTATACTGCTGTTTTACATGGGTGCAAAGAAAGACAGTACCGGTATACATACAAGTATGTGCTTGTATGCAAGCTCAAAGCAACCTAGAGCTTAACATCCTATCCAAAGGACTTTGTTATTGAGAATGCCTTGAACTTGATTTACTTTGCGTCTAATAAGGGCCACTGTTTGATGCACTGAGCAACACTGACCTTTTAAGCATTTGCTAACTTGGAAGCCAAAACAAATTTCAACCACTTTGAACATGTTTACAACATGAAATGAATACAGCTAAAATTATCCGGACATTCTGATAAAAGATATATCATAATCATTTAAATAGTGACATCAACATGATGACAAAGAAGAGCCAAGAAGTTTACAAGTTAGGCCATAAACCAACAAGATTGTGACTGTACCTTCGGATTAAACGTTTCAGCCCATATTCTACATCAATTAAAACCCAAAGATGTGCTTAAGCTTTCTTCATAATGATGTTCAACAAAAGAAATTAGTCTGAGGTCTAAAAATTTCCTTTGTTAAACGTGATCTTAGACCCAAGGATTGGTTTAACTGAATTAGTAGATTAGTAGAATACAAACCGATATGTTAACACCGTATCCGGACACCTATCCCCTGGACATCCACCCCCGGATTACCATCCCCTTGGACAACTACCCCCTAGGGCAACCGCCCCCTAGAAAGACTACCCCCAGGACGACTACCCCCCGGGACAACGACCCCCCCCCCCCCCGGAAAACTACCCCCTAGGATAGTTGTCGGGGGGGGGGGGGGGGGGTAAGTCGTCCTAGAGGATGGTTGTCGTAGGGGGTAGTTGTCTGGGGGGTAGTTGTCCCGGGGGTAGTCGTCCTAGAGGGTGGTTGCCCTAGTGGGTAGTTGTCCTAGGGGGTAGTTGACTGGGGGTGGTTATCCAGGGGTGGATGTCCAGGGGGTAGGTGTCCTAGAATAGTTAACACATTGGATATGCTTACATGTTTATTCAACATGCATTTACCACAGCTTCCATCTGAAGTTATTTCAGACTCAGTATTCGGCAGGTCAAACTTCCATCTTGTCTCATTCATTCATTCATTCTTTCTTTCTTCTGCACCATGTGATTATTAAACCTTGGGTGGCCAACGCTCATCTATGATGCAGTAATTCCATATGATGTGATTGATGATTAGTAGAATACACGGTATCAGTCCAACACAGCCAGCAAAGAGGAAAGCCATCTGATAGCTATTGGTCTGGTCTAAAATATACCCTGAGAGTAAAAGTGTAAAAGAGTAAAAGAAAATATACAGAAATTAGGCAGGTTTGAGGGCTGAACCATTGAACTTATAATTTCATACTCATTCTATTCTACCAAAATACCAATGTTCACAAGTGTCACCAAAATAAATACTAAATTTGGCAGATTTCATGCACTACAAAGATTTATGTTTTACGACTGAGCCTTGCCAAGATATCCTGGTGCATGATCATCAGTTGACATCAATTTGAAGGAGGCTTTTTACACTGCTGACATCAATTTGAGTGTCGATAGATTTTGTTAAAAAAGGGAAACAAAAATTGCTATTTGAACAGACATGGAACGATGACAATTCAAGAGCAAGCAAATAACATTTATGACTGCATTATCCACTAGAGTTATCAAAAGATAAATATTTGGATGACCTCCATATGCCCATTAAAGGGAGAAAAGAAATAAGGATATATCATGCACTATAAACCTACATGTATGTAAACAGCGCATAATTTATGTCAAATCCTTTCGGTTGTCTTTTACTTAATAATGGCAACATGATCACGGCATGATCAACATCAATATCATCAATATTTTGGAGTCAATGGAGTGGAGTGGAGTAATTGTTGATTGATAAGTTGCCAGCCTTACCAGAATTAAAATAAAACATATTCATTGATTATTTTGGAAAACAACATTGGAAACAGACAGAAATACCTCTAACGACATGGACAAAATAGTTAAAACCGCACCCTGTTCTAAGACAAAATAGGACAGACTACACAAATTATGGCAAGATCCTTGAGATCAACCAAACTAAACTTCATTTAAATTGAAAAGATAAAGAAGAACAAAAGAAATATGCGTGTCTCCTTTGTACATTTTTAAGATCTAACATGCATAAAACCTGTCCTCTAAGAAAACGAAAGGGGCCTCCTGAGAATTGGAAATGTCTGCCATCGTTTTCTCATGAAAAGATCTCATGGTACCCAGGCTTGAGTTCCTAGCATCATCCAGACTAGCCTAATCCAGACCTTCTTACCTGAGAGAATAGAACTTGTCATGATCCCGATGCATACCGATAAGAGCACCATGCCGATCCCACCTGGAAACCGGTGCAAAGGAACCACGTGTCGAACTATGACCGTCTGAAGAGGTATGTAAATGCCGGATGCAATGCCCACACCTGACGCACAAGCTACCATGACAGCATAGCTCTCGGTGGCTGGAGCAACAAACACAGCTACCGCACCAAGGGCATATGCAAAAGCTGACAAAAATATCTGATGTATGTGACCTGTGTTAAGGAGTAGGCCGTGAGTTGCTCGAGCAATCATGTTCGTTAATCCAACAACAGAGACTAAAAATGCTGCCTCAATTCTTGGAATGCCTTTCAGTACAGCGCAGGTTACAGCATGAGCCAAATAGGTCCCATACACGACACCTCCCATCAGTGCGATTGGTAGGTAACATGCAAATACGCGATTCTCCCATATGAGTGATAAACCTGTCGATTGCACACATGATGTCTTTACACCCTTGCCGACCATCGAGGCATGACTCCTCATCCTACGCACCATGGTAAGACGCTGAGTTGATGCATTTGGCTCAACGCCATTGATTTCATCATACTCCTCTAAAATCTCCTCATCAGGTTCATCTAATACTTTAAAATCTACCACTTGACTTTCGCCATTCTGTTTCCGCTTTTCCCCACATGCTATTACGATGCCGTCATCGGAGCCGCTATCAAAGGGGGTAGACGCATCAACGGCATAGGTCACTACACTATTGTGATTAAGCTCTGTCTCCGTCACAAGCTGTCTCAAACCGATCTGCTCACTTTTTGTCAGCTTCATATGCCCTTGTTCAAGTTGTTTTTCCGTCTTGGAATGTCTTGTCATAATGAGTGCCAGTGGGATAAGATGAAGCTGTAAGCCCCCTACGATCATCAGCGCACCCCTCCAGGTGTAGTGGTCTACCAGAACCTGAAAGATGAGTGGCCATACCACCATACCGACTCCACAGCCAGATGACGCTACCCCATTCAAGAGGGTAAAGTGCCTCTTGAAGTTTTGAGCAATGCAGACCAAACAACCAGAAAATGCCATGCTGCTACCAAAACCTGAACACAAAAGAAGAAAAAGTAATGATGATTTAGGATTGAGAACTAAGAAGAAATGTTACGTTACGCCTCCAAGTCTTCCATATATCTGAGAATTGCATTATGTTAAATTGGCATTTTGTGACGTCAAGAACGATTCATTTAATGAACCAGAAAAATGGGGAAGTTAATCTTAGTTAATATTAAGATAATGTTGCAAGCTATTTTGATCAATCGCAACTTTTCATAAGGTGAGGCATAGGTGCCTATAAATAACAAGACATACATCTGTCTACTGAATGCCCTATGCTCAGGATTTCACCTCTTGATGCCTATATTGAAATCTATTAAAAAAAAGCAAATAAACAAAACAAAAGAATACTTTTTTGACATCTGTATAAATCTTTTTAAAGTTCTAACATAAATTCTCCACAAATATAAGAAGAATACATCGTAAATTTCTGATATCCTTTATCTCAAATAAAGCATTCAGGTTCATCTATATCATATGATGGTCTTATGAGAGAGAGAAAAAAAATGAAAACAATAATTGAAACATTGTGAAAATTAAATGGAGTAGCAAGTTAAAATTAAATTGCAAACTGTTTAAAAAAAGATAATGATGAGAGTGTTATCTAGTAACAGGAACCTCTTTAAAAGTAACGGCTCTTTACTGGTTAAACTTGCTATTGTTAGTTTATAAGATTTATCACCTATAAATTCTCAATAAAAGCAGCTATAAAATCTGAATTAATTTCAATCATATTTGTTCGGACAATGTTATCAAATATAGTATACACCCTGACAAAAATATGGCCTTTTGTAAGGATATGAAGGTACGTACTTGAAATAGTTAAAATTTCCTATACCCATTAGGCTTTAGATACAGGATACTTATTTCAGGTTCCTGCTGTTTTCAACCTTTACACACAGTTAGTATTGATTTATCAGGAGGCATTATAATTTTTGATGATAGATCCCTGATTGGCTTGGTTTGTGAAGTTTATGTGGATGTACTCATGTAGAGCCAAGGCCAGATTTCTATTTATGAATTTTGTAAGTTGTCATCAGTGAAACACATATTGATAACACTGACGTATCTTGCGAGCTCCTTTTAAATGACAGATTTGAATGTTTCAAAGAAAAATTCTAACATGTGTAAGAAAACACACACGATTAAAGTGTCAACAAATGGTATGATTGAATGCACATTCTAATGCCCTAGCTATTTACATACACATTTCTGAATACAACAGCCAGGATTCAGGAAATAACCTTGTAGATCACAAGCACCACAATTAAATTCTAGACTACCGGTACTTTTATTGATAGAAATTGACTGCAGAGCCATTGTCGTAAAATCAAGTGCCTCACCATCACTTCACCTTGTCATCTATATATAGGCTGCATACATTTACTATAACATGTATGTCGCTCTTTTCAGAGCGTCTTTGTCAATGAGAACTTTGGCATACTGTTCCTAGAAGTAAAAGTAATCATTTCCTTCTCAACAGCCCTACTCTACATGTATCACCCTTACCCCTTAAAAAAGGCATAGCCTGAGGTACTTGGCCAAATAAGGGAACATAAAATTATAATAGTTAAATAAACATGTATATGTAAATTTACATTGAGGGCACTTGTATGACCAGATCAATGCTCTTGTAGTAGTAGAGCTATCACATTAAAAAAAGATCAACTAAATAATAAATTGTATCTCTATCCAGGATTTGGACAGCTAATGGAACAAATGGAACAAATGGGACTGTCACAGTCAACCTTTTGTCACATATACAGTGTGTATGTATCATGTATATATATACTAAAATCAACATAGTAGATTAACAATAATGTTATCAGTAAAATAAGAGACAAGAAACACTGCCCCACCCCTCAAAAACAAACTAAACAAACCAAAACAAAAAACAAACAAACAAACAAACAAACAAATAAAGAAATAAACAAAACTCCTCACCAGACATGAAAGGAATAGTAATGAAGAGTACTGTAATGTTGGGAGCATATGAAGCAGCCAAGAAGCCAGATGCAGAGAGGATGGCACCGGCGATCATCACACAACGAACACCAAAATGCCTCACAAGTGCGCCAGCCAGGGGAGCTTGATGGGATCGAGGGAGGGAGGGAAGAAAAGATACAATCCACATAAGGCCATTAAAAAAAAAATACATGTTTAGCGTCTCTGCCCGCTTCCTTTTGGGAGCTGCCTCCTATTTTTTTTTTGGAAAAAATTTTGAATTTTTTTTTTTTAAAGAAAAAAAAACATGAAAAACACTGCTAAAATGGATCTATTTTTTATTTACAAAAAAAAAAAAAAAAAATGTTGGCGGCCATCTTGAAAAATAGCCCGACTGTCAGGGAAAATGTACCGAGCGGCCTTTTTGGGCAGCCATTTTGAAAGAAAAAAAAAAAAAAAACGGGACGCTAAACATGTTTTTTTTTTTATTTGGCCTAATACAAATCATATAATATGGAAATTTATAGCAAGAAGACATCCTTGACACTATGAACATGACTGACAAGAAAGTAGCCTATAATCTAGGCGGAGTGCCGAGCTTTTTTCTTTGCTGCTAGACTAACCTTAAGCAGAACGTCTGATACGGCGAGACTACGAACCGTGAGTCGCGAAGCGGCTCACCGCCTATAATCACTGGTCTAGCTAATCAATATTCATATATATTCAAAATGGCGGATCTATGAATCATTCAACAGCCCTACCAAATAAGGTACACCTATGTTACGTTCGACCAATCAGATATAAGAAACCGCAATATCCCTGCCGGCTTCAATAACGCTACGAATAGCGGATTCCTGCAGTTCTCTGAATTTTCCATTAGGAATGCCTAGTTTGTTGGCCGCATATGATAAACTTTCTCGCAGAAGATTGTCGTCGCATGAACTACCCGCCATCTTGGATGAAGAAAATGATGTAATGTCACGTGATTTATAATATGCATATGCATAGACTCTTCTCCATACGTGTTTCTGATTGGTTGAGTTCATTTCGTATTCATGAGGATTTTTCGTACGAAAAACTGCCACGGATTCATGGTCGATAATAAAAAAACAACGACTAAAGCTAGACCAGTGATTATAGGCGGTGAGCCGCTCGCGGCTCACGGTTCGTAGTCTCGCCGTATCAGACGTTCTGCTTAAGGTTAGTCTAGCAGCAAAGAAAAAAGCTCGGCACTCCGCCTAGATTATAGGCTAACAAGAAAGCGGACAAAATATACAGTTCCTCAGGTAGAGAAAGGAACATCCCTTCACTGCTATTATGTAAAAATGTGTAGAACAGGTGAATATCGAGTGACACCTGTTCTACACATTTTTACATAATAGCAGTGAAGGGATGTTCCTTTGTCTACCTGAGGAACTGTATATTTTGTCCGCTTTCTTTGTCAGTCATATTCATAGTGTGATGATCGAAAGAAGAGCAGAAAAATCAAGATACACAACTACTGTTCACACAAATGTAATACCCCAAATTCCATATGGTTAACGAGAAGAAAAAAAATTAAAACAGAACTCCTTGCAAACAATTTTTATCAAATTAAGAGTCATCGTCATGTTCCCTTCAGAATAAATTGGGTGTCATGTCTATTAGATCCTAATTACTTTTTCATAAATACAATTACTATTTTACAGTACAACGTGCACTCAAAAGAAAAAGAAAAGAAGAGTGTTCTATAAAAGCAGGTGGCCTTTATGGACAGGTGATCTTTCTATAGAGGTGCTCACTAAAGCAGGTTTCTCTGCCAATTGAACCACTTACATGTTCCAAGAAGGACAGTTAACACGGAGGTAGCGAGCCAGCTGATCAAGGCTGCTTGTTCCTGAAAGTCTCTCTTCCATTCTCCGTAGAAGACTCCCATGGAGGTGGACAACCCATGGGTCATTCCTTGGGCTAGGAGGTTGCAGGCCACGATCACAGTCCCACTTAGAGTTACCTTCATGGTGATCCTCCACTTGTTCTATTATCATCTGATACTGAGTGGTTGATGAGCATATCTGCATGCAAAATATAAGATAATCACCTGCAAATGTTAAGGACTAAATGTGCATGCACTTTGAAATTGGTGTTAAATGATTGCTGGTCATCCTTTAAAAAAAAAATGACCTTAGTAATCATTCTGCCAAGTCTATTTAACTGTTAAGTACATATTATACAAATAATGAATGGTTATGAGTTCAATAGTGCGAATATTTTCATGAGTTGAAAGATTAACATTTTATTCAACGAGGCGTCAGCCGAGTTGAATAGAATTCACATTAATGTTTCAACGAATGAAAATATTCGCACCATTGAATGAATGAAAAACATTCATTATTTGTTTTATACAACATCAAAGAAGATCTAATAGAACGTTAATCAACAAATTATGCTTTACTCCTCATATTAAACATAAATTAAAGTTGGAGTCGAGCCTTCTCGATTACATTCAGATTGCCTTCGCGTCAGTATGCAGGGACACGCGCGCGCACGGCAGAGAGATACGCAGTCTGCATATATAATCAAAAATGCACGGAGCATATAACCAAAAATGCACGACCATGCAATATAACATCTATTGAATATCATGTGACCAACAATCCTCCAATCAAATGACAAGGATTCACGTAGGTGTTGTATAATCATAAATGAATGATACAAGCCAATAAAAACTAAAACAACAACAACACATGTAGGAATTGGTAGTATGCTATCTCTCTTTCTCTCTTCATTCTACACAAATTCATTTATTTCAATTATTACCAAATGGAGTCAATGGACGGCAAAGTTTTTTACTACAAAATGGTGCGAATCGAAAATATATCTTCGAATGATTATTGAGATTATTTTTTTTTTTCCACCGACATGTAAACAATACATTCATAAACAGTAACAACAAGAATAAATTCATGAATAATAACAAGAAAATCTTATAAAGAAATTGAAAATGTGGAAAAGAGGTGGTCTGTAAAAAAGCACAGCTAAAACACTAGGCCAAAATTTCTGTCTCTTTCGTTTGTTAGCCTCTGATTTGGGTAGGCCTAGGTCGATTTGGGTAGGGTCGGCTGACCCTACCCAAATCAGAGGCTAACGAACGAAAGGGACAGAAATTTTGATTCTATTTAAACTTAAACACAGATCAACGGAACAACCACAAATTTTTTTTTTAAAAGAAGTAGATTTAATAATAAAAATAGAATAGATCTAGATTGAATTAGAAATAGAAATGGATATGGGGAAGGTGAATAAATGTACAAAAGGGGAGACCAACAGTAACACTCGGTAGCAATACTTATCTAGTTACCTAGATCTAGGTCTATACTAGACCGAATTTTCCGTCTCTTTCGTTCGTTAAGCCTCTTATTTGGGTAGGGTCGGCTCTTTAAAGAGAGAGCCGACCCTACCCCAAAAAGAGGCTTAACGAACGAAAGAGACAAAAAAATCGGTCTAGGTCTAGGCCTATAGGCCTAGTGGAATTAGCACCAAGGCAATCAGATCTATCAGTAATAATACAGATCTATCATAACAGGTTCTGTACTCAGCTCTGGACTGTAGTGTAGAAAATAGGGCATGAATGATGACATGCCATCACCAGTTGTTCGGGAGCATGGTAAAGTTAGTAAGAGTAACAAAGAACTGACCATGGCCATGGCAAGGCTAATACAAGTTACAACTTACGTTTAAATAGGTCTAGACTATTACCATGATTACCGACTCTTGAAAAATGAGGTCTGTATTACTGTTAGTGCTCCTACTTATCAGTGAAGCCTGGTTTCTTTAAGTCCAAGAATGTCTTCACTTCAGCTCCACAGCTCCGTTTATAAATCAAAGGAGGTCTAAACTAAAGTCCTGAGACGTAGGTATGGTCAAATGCAATGCAGTGCTGGCTGGTGGTATTCTATCGAGTCATGCTCCGGGCCGCGTTATTTTTTTATGCGGCACAGATTGGGGCTTTTTTTTTAAAGGGGTCTTTATTTACAGACTAATAGTGTTCGTGTGCGTACCGTGTGCGTACTAGTAGTAGAGGTCTGTTTTTAATAGTGTGACATGTAATCCACTACCGTATGGAAAATCATTACATCAACAATTAAAATGAAATTGTAAATCTGAAGAGGAGGCAGTACGTCAATAAGGAGAACATCACAATAATTAGTCAATAAAACATAACTAACTTAAACGAAGAGAAATGTTATCTAAGCACATAGTTCGCGATGGATAAACAAACTTCTTCGCAGCGCTAATGCGCTAGCGAACATGACTAGTCTCACGTACGTGCAGACACTATTCAGAAGGGAAAGAACGTACTTCCCATAGGTTTAACACGCGCCATGCCCCAATCTGTGCCGCATAAAAAAATAACGCCTCCGGGCCGGTGCGGGGGCCGGGCAGCGTTATTTTTTTATGCGGCACAGATTGGGGCATGGCGCGTGTTAAACCTATGGGAAGTACGTTCTTTCCCTTCTGAATAGTGTCTGCACGTACGTGAGACTAGTCATGTTAGCTAGCGCATTAGCGCTGCGAAGAAGTTTGTATAGATCTATCCATCGCGAACTATGTGTTTAGATAACATTCCTGTTCGTTTAAGTTAGTTAAGTTTTATTGACTAATTATTGTGATGTTCTCCTTATTGACGTTCTGCCTCCTCTTCAGATTTCCAATTTGATTTTAATTGTTGATGTAATGATTTTCCATGCGGTAGTGGATTAAATGTAAAAACAGACCTCTACTACTTATACTGTCTCGTACGCACACGACCAGTATTAGTCTGTAAATCAAGACCCCTTTTTAAAAAAAGCCCCAATCTGTGCCGCATAAAAAAATAACGCGGCCGGGCACGACGACACCCGCTCCGCGCTGTCCGCTTTGAGTGTACGTGTAGTACGTGTGACCGGTGTGACCTCGTAATAATTATGCAATAACCGGTATAGGTCTAGTTACTGTTTACATGGGCAATTCTCGAAATGCTTATATCTTTGTGGATGTATATAGGCCTTAAAAGTAGACTAATATGACAAATGAAAGAAATAATCAGAAGACAGAAAGGGAAAGCCAGAGAGGAGGAGGAGGAAAAGGGGGGGGGGGGGGGGCCTGGGGGGGGGGGGGGGGGCTGGAGACAGCACACATTTTCTTAATCATCACATTACTAGTTTTCAGTATTTATCCTATTTTCTTCAACATTTGAAGACAACACTTAATATCTCTGTATGTATTTGACCCCGATCTAGTTAGATGTTTGGTTTGAAAGTGCACCACGTCCAGTATATCAGTTCCAGACGCAGTCAAGGAAAAAACATACCTTTTCAATTAACTCACTTTAGAATAGAAAAGTAATTAGAAGAAGAAATAAAGAAGATGAAGATGATGGTGAAGGAGAAGGAGGGGAAAAAGTAAGAAAAAAGAAAAGGATTAAGGGAAAAGAAGAAATAAAAGAAGGGGAAGAAGAAGAAAATGGGGAATTAGGAGAAACGTAAAGGGACAAGGATTTATGTGACCTATCTCAACACCGCACCAAACGATTAAATTAATTTACCTTTTTATCCCCCAAATCTTGATTTTTATTCCCATGCCTTAGCCCAGGATATACTGCATATGAAATTTTACAAAATCTTTTATAAACTTTGAAGAATTTATACTTTTTCTGATTATTATACATTCATAATCATTGATTTTTATATAAATAGTTTATCAAAATTCAAACTTTTCATGATTTAACCGAAAAATATTACTCTATATTAGGGCATCCACACAAAAACAAATTACTATCAATATAACTTGAATGCTTGGTGTGAGAAAATAAGATTTTTAGGGAAAAATTGAAAATGTATATTATCAATATAAAGAAAACATTTAGTGGATATTGAGGCAATCTAGTGATGTCACAGACTCGTGAGTGAGTTGCCAATTTGTCTTGTGATTTCCAAAGTTTTTCATGTCGTTAAACATTCATAACTTTTATCACCGGTAGTTATCCTATCTTGCTCAAACTTTTTTGATTGGTTTGTCTGATTTTTCTGTTTCTATTGAAAGTAAGTTATTTTAGGAGTGGATTTGCCCTTTAATTGTAAAACTAGCATTGAAGTCACTACCTTAACTGCTTAACACCATTTTCTCTATTCTGATCAATGTTACCAAGTCCCTTTAATTAGTGGCCAATTCTTTATAGCGGCTGTGTATTTTGTCTCCTGAGAGAGAGAGAGAGAGAGAGAGAGAGAGAGAGAGAGAGAAATGCATATTGTAGAACCTATGTAGAGAGGCCAGTGGCTACTAAGTAATAGACAGGATTGACTAAAGCATCCAGAAAAAAAAATTTCTCCTGTCCGTACAGACTGATATCATCTCATTCACTTTAGCAATAAAAGAAAATTTCAAAATAAGCACAACTGTTATCGCTTTTTTAAAGCTTTTATTTCATAATTGTCTTTGACACGATTAATTATTCATTTAACATTAAAGAAAATATAGTATCTATTCATGCGTGTGAACAGACCCATATTAACATGGAAGCACTTGATGCAGGGATATTCCCTATACAAAAAATACACACAAAAAAACATTAGATGAATTAAGTACATTAGATAAATACAAAGTGAAGGAAAAGGCAAGCTATATCTGAGCTTTAGATCACAATGAATTGGTTATTTCAGTAGAATAAAGTGCTAAAAACATGTAGAAGAAACAAGTACAAGGTGAAACCATTGTAATACTTTGTCCAAAAGAAAAACAGCATTTGAAACTAAGAAAAAAACAAAGTGTAAGTATGAATACCTGTTCAAAAGAATAATTATGTGAGCATCCAATAAGAAAGAACTTAGTAGTACATTGTATGTGATATCTTTATCAAAGATAATGAATAAATTGGGATAATGAATACATTGGGATAATGTTACTACAAATATTCATATTAAATTCTAGGTTCAATATTACAAAATATCACTGCTGTTTCTCTTAAAATTTAATAAATAAGGAAACATAACATAATCATAATACTAGGTATAAACTTAAAGGTACTATGTCCCATTTGCAGGCCCAAAAAATGAAAAGATTAAATTCCAATGGCATTTGAAAGACAAAACTAATTTAGAACTTCCCTAAAAAAGGTGGGGCTTGAAAATGTCTTCAAGTGGGAAAATAATGACTATTAGTTGTCAAATCGACTTACGAGCTATAGAGCCAATAAGTAATAGTCTTGATTTTCAGACCATTGCACCAAAAGGTCATACGTTTTATGCTGTGCAAAGATTCAATCAGTTTAATTTGGCCATCACAAGAAGTGAGTTATTGATGTAGACAAATGCTCATGTACCCTTTACAGCTCATTTTATGTAATTTTATTACCAAAGACAGTGAAGTCTAGCAAGTAAACAGGTTTCCTTGCATAATTTGAATATTAGAGCACTGCTAATGTTTAAATTTCACAGATAGGACATACATGACATGTTCATAACTCCTGCAAAGTTCTACAGAATTTGAGATTGGCTGCAAAAGGGACATAGTACAATGGCAGAAAGGAAATTATACCATGGTCTTGCTGTTATAGTTCAAGTTAAACAGTACAATGCAAAATGGTTTAAAGTGGATTTTCTTGACAAGGCAGTACAATAAAATTGAGATTAATTGAAAATGGAGATTTGCATACAGGTACCATTATATTTTTTCTTACTGTATGCACCAACACATGTATGATTATGATTCCATTACCTATTAAAATATATATCTGCAGGTAGACTGCTTTTATGAACGCTTTTATTTAAAAAAAAGCTTCATAAAATGATGCAAGTAGTAGTACATGTAAGTAAACTGATAATTTTCATTTTTAATTGATAGATAACCAAATTAGATTATCAGTATGAACAATCAACATTTTACATGAATCTGTATGTTACATGTAAAATGACCCAAGTCCCCATATCTATGCATTACAAAATTTAAAAAATGTATAAAGTCTTCATTGTTCATGTGCAATATAATTCTAGTAGATCTAATCAATTAAAATATAATTTCGTTGAAAATTCACTCTTAGGTTGAATTTGATATTTACACCACATGACCAACAAAATGGATTTAGTACCAGCCCCCGGCCTTTTGACCTCTCATCTCATGAACTCAACATCTAGTCAGTACACCCATCTAAAATAATAAATAGTTCATGAGCTTTAGTTTTTATACTCTAATACTCTATCATAAAATGAGTTTGTAAGCATGTATCCTATTGGCTGATGAATTGTGATCACATGACATTTAAAGTATTTCTTTATGGTGCATTAGCTTGTATCAATAACTTCAATTTTAGGACAGTAGCAAAGTGTGCATCCATGTTCTCCCATCACATAACACATGGGTTTTCTCTGCACTGTTTTTGTTCTGTGAGGTAGACAATGGAAGCAAATTGGGAATGGGGAGTTTAAGAGAAGCAAGGCACATATTTGTGAATATCGTCATCATATCCCCTAACAAATTTGACATGCACATCTTCATTCTGTATACGTATATTCAAATCCAAATTAAAAGAACTTCCCTCATGCAATATCATATCTAATCTTGGCCAAAGAACTTAAGACTTAACACTCACAAAATGCTGAATATCAGGTAATATAAATAGATAAAGAGCAGAGCATGCAATATTAAAAGAATCAATAATACATGTACTTAAAGGTAGTGTATCCCTTTTGCAGCAAACATCAAATTCTGTAGAACTTTGCAAGAATTATGAATATGTCAAGTATGTTCTATCTGTGAAATTTCTAGCCTTCACTGTCAGACACTATTGAGTGACTGACTTCTTCTTTATTTGGTAATAATGTACATAACGGGTACATGACCATTTGTCTACATCAATAACCCACTTCTTGTAATGGCCAAAATTAAACTGATTGAATCTTTGCGCAGCACAAAACGCACAGCGGTTACAGTACAACCATTTGGTACAAGGGTCTGAAAATCAGACTATTCAATGAAACATGCATTGTGTGCTCGCTAAATTTGATTTGACGACAAACGGTCGTTATTTTCCCACAAAAAGCCATTTTCAAGCCCTTTTGTTTTGAGGAAAGATCTAAATTAGTATTGTTTTTCAAATGCCGTTGGAATTTAACCTTTTTCATTTTTGGGGGCCTGCAAATGGGACATACAGTAGTACCGTACCTTTAAGTTATATATATTATAGATCTCATACTGATCTGAAATCAGTTTAATACCATTATTTACCATTTCATACATAGAATATTATAAGACTGAAGTACCAAGTCCTCTGTATGGTATTTTCAGTTAAAATTATTAAATATATTTCAGTTGCTTGCACATGAAGAAAGAAAAAAAAAAGAGTACCAGTATACAAATAATAAGAAATAGCCTGTTACCCCATCAGCATTAAACAACGGCTTCCATCTCACGTTATTTCACTTAGTATTCAGCAGGTCAAACTTCCATCTTGTCTAATTCATTCTTTCATTCTTTCTTCTGCACCAAGTAATTAGCCTTGGGTGGCCAACGCTCATCTATGATGCAGTAATTCCATACCACGTGGTTTATGGCAATTAGAATACATGGTATAAGTCCAATGCAGCCAGCAAAGAGAAATGCCATCTGATAGCTGTTGGTCTGATCTAAAATGTACCCTGAGAGTGTAAAAGAGTACAAAAAAATAAACAGAAATTAGGTTTGAGGGCTGAACCACTGAACTTTATTATTTCATACTCATTCTATTCTACTCAAATACCAATGTTCACAAGTGTCACCAAATTTGGCAGATTTCATGCACTACAGAGATTTATGTTTTAGACTGAACCTTGCTGAGATATCCTAGACAGTACTTTGCTTAACATATCAGGTGCCTGATCAACAGGTGACAATAATTTGAAGAAGGCTTTTTACACTGCTGACATCAATATGACTGTCAATAGATTTTGTTAAAAAGGGAAACAAAAATTGCTATTTGAACAGACATGATACAATCATTACTCAAGAGCTAGCAAATAACATTTATGACTTCATTATCTACTAGAGTTATCAAAAGATAAATATTTGGATGACCTCCATATGCCCATTAAAGGGACAAAAGAAATAAGGATATACACTGTACCATGCGCTATAAACACTATAAACATATGCAAACAGCGCATAATTTGTGTCAAATCCTTTCTGTTGTCTTTTACTTAATAATGGCAACATGATCACGGCATGATCAACATCAATATCATCATTATTTTGGAGTCAATGGAGTGAAATAATTGTTGATTGATAATTTGCTGCCCTGCTCAGCTATATTTAAGAAAACATACTCATTTATTTTATTGGAGAACAACATTGAAAACTGACAGAGATACCTCTCACTCAAGCCAATGAGAAAAAACCTGTTCCAAGACAAAATAATAGCCACATACATGACTAGATCCTTGAGATCAGCATACTGTGTTGTAACAGAACTTGAATTAAATTGAAAAGATAAAAAGAACAAAAGAAATATGTGTGTCTTCTACTCTCCTTTGTAGATTTTGGACACTTAAGGTGCATAAAACCTGTCCTCCAAGAAAATAAAAAAGTGATTTAATGAGAATTGGAGATGTCGGGCGGATCCAGCCGGCAGCGAGGGAGGGGGCCCGAGAAATATGTCCAAAACGCATGGGGGGGGGGGGGGGGGGTAGTGAGCACTATTTTTTTTTTTTCTTTTTTGGTTTTAGCTCAATTTTTTTTTTTACTCAACACCCCCCCCCCCCCCCTTTGAAAGGGTTAGATCTGCCACTGTGTCTGCCATTGCTTTCTCATGATCTCATGGTATCCAGGCTTTTAAGAAGTTCCTGGAATCATCAAAACTTTCTTACCCGAGACAGTAGAACTGATCATGATCCCAATGCATGTTGATAAGAGCACCATGCCGATCCCGCCTGGAAACCGGTGCAAAGGAACCATGTGTCGAACAATAACTGACAGAAGAGGTATGTATATGCCGGATGCAATACCGACACCTGCCGCACAAGCTACCATGACGGCATAGCTATCGGTGCTTGGAGCAACAATTACAGCTACCGCACCAAGGCCATACGCAAAAGCCGACAAAAACATCTGATGTACGTGACCTGTGTTGAGGAGTAGGCCGTGAGTTGCTCGAGCAATCATGTTCGTTAATCCAACAACAGAGACTAAAAATGCTGCCTCAATTCTTGGAATGCCTTTCAGTACAGCGCAGGTTACAGCATGAGCCAAATAGGTCCCATACACGGCACCTCCCATTAGTGCTGTGGGTAGGTAACATGCAAATACGCGATTCTCCCATATAAGAGATAGACCTGTTGATTGCACACACGATGTCTTCACACCTTTGCCGACCCTTGAGGCACGACGACCTATCCTATGAACCATGGTCAGACGCTGAGTTGATGCATTTGGCTCAACGCCATTGATTTCATCATACTGCTCTACAATCTCCTCATCAGGTTCATCTAATACTTTAAAATCTATCACTTGACTTTTGCCACTCTGTTCTGGCTTTTCTCCACATTCTATCACGATGCCGTCATTGCTACCATTATCACAGGGGGTAGACGCATCAACGGCATAGGTCACTACACTATTGTGTTTAAGGTCCGTCTCCGTCACAATCTGCTCATTTTTTGTCATCTTCATATGCCCTTGTTTGTTCGTCTTGGAAAGTCTTGTCATAATCAGTGCCAGTGGTATAAGATGAAGCTGTAAGGCCCCTACGATCATCAGCGCACCCCTCCAGGTGTAGTGGTCCACCAGAACCTGGAAGATGAGTGGCCATACCACCATACCGACTCCACAGCCAGATGATGCTACTCCATTAAGGACGGTAAAGTGTCTCTTGAAGTTTTGAGTAACGCAGACCAAACAACCAGAAAATGCCATGCTGCTTCCAAAACCTAAACACAAAAGAAAACAAAATGGATAATGATTTAGAATTGATAAGTTAAAATATTTAGTTATGCCTCCAAGTCTTCCATACATATGATGAATTGCAGTTCCTTTACATTGGCTCTTTGTGACGTCAATAATGATTCATTTAATGAACCAGAAAAATGGGAGGTTAATCTTACTTAAGTCAATGTTGCCTGCTATTTTGATCAATCAAAAATTATCACAAATTTTTGTACCTGGCATTCTATGGCATATTAAAGTTAATGGGGAAGTCCATTAGTCCACCATGATTTTAATTTGGTTTTAATAAAAGCAGGCCAAATTAGAAAAACAACTCAGTGACAAATTAGAGATTAGTGTTAAACGATGCCTTTAAGGGAAAATATACATTTCTAAAGTTTTACAGTGCAGGGTAAATGGTGAAGAATTACCGGTAATGTTATAGTAAAATAAGAAACACTGCCCCACCTCTAATAAACCAACAAAATACAAAAACAAATAAACAAAATCCCTCACCAGACATGAATGGAATAGTAATGAAGAGTACTGTAATGTTGGGAGCATATGAAGCAGCCAAGAAGCCAGATGCAGAGAGGATGGCACCGGCGATCATCCCATAACGAACACCAAAAGTCCTAACAAGTGCGCCGGCCAGGGGAGCTTGATGGAGGGTAGCGAAAGAAAAAGAGACAATTCACATAATGCAAATCATATAATAAAAGGATTTATACCCAAAGAAGAGTAGAAAAATCAAGATACACAACTACTGTTCACAGGTGCACCGGAAGCAGTTTGGGATTGGGGGGGGGGGGGGGGGGGCAAACGTTTCAGGGGGCTCACCTTCCAGGGGCAGTGGCGTAATGAGCAAAAAAGTGTTTGGAAGCCCCGGCAGGGGGTCGAGTGGCTGAACCCTGGAAACTCAGGGTTTTTAGGCATTAAATTACGGTCAGATAAGCATATTTAGATACCGTATTTGTGACACTGTTACGTCATTCATTGGCAGAGAGTCCAGGGGGCAGAGCCCCCGGAAGTTCAGGGGTTTTAGGTATTTCAACATTTGTAAATCACTGGTATCGAAGAACAAATACCCCCTCCCCCCATCAGTACGCCAGCGTTCAGGGGCTTATGTCATCTCATCTCTATAACAAAAAACACACACCCTTTCCCATCCTCTCACAAATGCGCATATCGCTATCATAAAAACCTCCTTTGATATATATAGGTGGCATGCGGAATGTTTAGGAAATTGAATTCCTGTTAACTTTCCTTTTCTTTGTATGGAATTTTATACAAGATTTAATTCAGGTTTTTACTCCTTTACTGCTTTTCTTTTTTTTTTTTTTGAGGGAGGGGGGGGGGGGGAGGGCGTCTATGACTGTTCACACAAATGTAATATCCGAAATTCCATATGGTTAACGAGAACAAAATATGTAAAAGCAGAAAATTCTTGTTGCACAATTTAAAAAAATTAAATTAAGAGTCATCGTTATTCGTTAAGTTCCCTTTCAGAAAAAATTGGGTAAGGGTTGAATTCATATCGACCTTTGCCAGCAGGTTTCTCTGCAAATTGAACCACTTACATGTTCCAAGAAGGACAGCTAACACGGAGGTAGCGAGCCAGCTGATCAAGGCTGCTTGTTCCTGAAAGTCTCTCTTCCACTCTCCGTAGAAGACTCCCATGGAGGTGGACAACCCATGGGTCATTCCTTGGGCTAGGAGATTGCAGGCCACTATCACAGTCCCACTTAGAGTAACCTTCATGGTGATCCTACGCTTGTTCTAGAGTATAAGTATAACCAGCTGATATTGAGTGGTTGATGAGCATATCTGAATCGATGAAAAATTGATAGGAAAGAAAATACATGTGATGTAGATCATGTGTAGTCGATCTAATTTTCATATCTAGATCTACTACTACTAGTAGTAGACTACTACATGTAAGTATAATAAAATTTAAAAATAATATTGTAAAACATGATCTTGATCATAATAAACAAAGACTTATGGTACTTACAATTTACTTTCAGCAAATCTCTGATTAAATGGAGGCCCTGTGTACAGGAGAGTCACTTGGCCTTGCACGTTAAGAACCCACTGCACTATTTATAGGGGGAAACCCCGGTGTAGTGGTCCACCTGCGCCTGCACACCCCAATCAGGCAGATACGGACACGGTATCTGCAAGAATCTTCAGTATTGAAGGAGGCAGATTATCTTGAAGTAGAAGAAGAATCTGTCCAGTTTCTTGAAGCTACTGCACATGTACACGTAGACAAAAATAACCGTCTGGCGCGGCGTAGGCGTATGGGGAATTATATAAATTTATATACCTCATTTTAAGATTCTTTACTAATCCTGTCTTCTGATTGGTTGAAAATGCAGTCATGTTCTTAACCATGCCCGCTAATTGAAATTCATAGTCATTTTTCCCGGCCCTACGGCCGGTTTATATCCATTTTTCATAGCACTTTTTCCATGGCTGTGAAACGTGACGTCATTTTGCTGCGATCCCCATTTTGGTTTACGTGTTGCCGTATAAGTTTCTTTTGTGCGATGACCGATGCGCAATATCGTTAACGGTGTTTGAGTGCAATTCGATTTTGGTCGCTGCATTCAGGCGACGAATCTACCCATCCACGCAGCGCAGACGACCGATCGCCATTTTGTGTACTAGTCTCGATCGCAAAATACTGGGGTTTTTTGTTTCCAATTTTTTGTCAAAAGAGATGGAAACCTAAATGGGTGAGTCAACATTTTCCTTTTTTTCGGTATATAAAATATATATTGACTGCTTTTAATATTCGAGGCATAGTTGTTTCTATAGGGTCTCGGGAAACTCACAACCTGCTATGACCCCGCGGCGCAAGCGCCTTGGGGTCATAGCAGGTTGTGAGTTTCCCTTGACCCTATAGAAACCACTATGCCTCTCAAAGCAGTCAATATATCCTTAATAATAAACACTGATGTTTGTCAACGTTCCTATAGTCCCCTTGCAGTGGAGCCTAGCCTCAGCTCAACGGATCGAAGAAACAACCGTGCGTGTATTTTAATAGAGGCGCATCAGGCCCATAGAGCTATATCTCTATAATTATGATCAGGCCATATATTTCTTTCTTTCTTGATTTGATTTTGTTTGGCAATCAGTCATCACAGTTGACTATTTTTGCCACACACTATTGTATGAATTATTTATATATATATATATATATATATATGTACAATTTCATGTCATAAATGACTTTTTTTAGGATTCTTTCTCTTTCCATCCCCTTTCCTTCTGCTTATTTTCTTTTGTATTCTTTTTTAAATTTTTTTGGAGAAAATGAATTTGGAAAGAGACGGCCTATAGCAAGTTGTACGTACATCAATGGAGGTATGGAGCAAGACGCACATGCAGTCTCACAGATCAGCAGAACAAGCGTCGCTATCAGAGACTGAATGGGTCAATGGATAACTTTTTAGTAATTTGGTAATTCCAACTAAGCCAAAGCTTTTTGTTTGTGTAGATGGACTCCAAGATATAATAATAATACACAACATTTATTAGGCGCTAATTAATACGGGTGTTTCTAAGCGCACAAAGATATGTAGTTGTGTATACATCTCCAAGGTGAGTTCATGAATGATATACAAGCTATGACTTATGACTTGATGACAGGCCGCTTTTAATTGCGTTTGTATTATGATGGTTGCTTTGGGAGACCTGACTTTTACAAGCTAAGCTTTTCCCACACCCCTCCCTTATAACCACACTCTGGTCCATGTCTGCCTTATTCAAGACGAATGTCCTGTGTCCGACAAGTCAACTTAAAGGTAAAGACCAGTTATGGTCATGCGATTGCATTGTGAAAGAAACGTTGTGGAATCGATCAGAAAAGGTTGATCATCTAGCATCTAGCATCTGCAAGGTTCTGGAATCATCAGAATGAAGAAATTTGGCCCATTCTTCGTAAAGTTACAAGCACTATACACAGAAAGATGTATATACCCAACTAACAATCGGACGTTTTCTGAACGTTCTAAAAAGGTTCCAAATTGGTTTCCTAAACGTTTTGTGAAAACGTTCTAAAGACGTCCATTTGTGGTAGGTTTTGGACGTCTTTTGGAACGTTCCAACTGGACGTTTTTTGAACGTTTTCTAAACGTTTTTAGAACCAATAAAAAACCTTTTATAGATTTGCTTTCAAGTGCAAGGACCTGCAGAAAACCTGTCGGACGTTTGGGACGTTTTAAGAACGTTTTAAGAACCTTAAAAACGTCCGGAAAACCTTTTAAAAACGTCTCGAACGTTTCCAGGACGTTTAAAGAACGTCTATAACGTCCAAGAGAACCTTTTAAGAACGTGTAGAATGTACTGGAAACGTTTTGAAAACGTTTAGAAAACCTTTTACGAACGTCTAGAACGTCCTGGAAACGTTTTGAGAACGTTCAGAAAACCTTTTAAGAACGTCTAGAATGTCCTGGAAACGTTTTAAGAACGTTCAGAAAAACTTTTGAGAACGTCCAATATACAGTGAATTTTTAATAAACGCTAGGTCACACATGTATTTGATTGATTTTATGAATTTATTATCAAACATATTTACAAAATATGTACAAAGGCTTGGCAATACAGTACATCATGTATATTTGAAAAAGAGTATTGGTATTTCCCGAAGTGCCCCCGAAAGAACATACAATTCTAATATTCAGAATAAATTGTTATTTGATCAATATCGATTCATAAAAGGCTGAAATATCCATAAATATATTTGTATTCAAAATATTAAAAATGCTTGAAGACTACTTTGAAGAAAACAAATCTGAACAGTTCTTTAAAAAGCAATTGATATAGATATTTATTTAATTATTATTTTAACAAACATTAAATGCAGAAACTGAAAGTAACGGGTCATTTTGAATAATAACAGGGGCTTTACTTGGCCGTTTGTAATTATTACTTTGCACCGTGATGGTGCAGGTTTTGGTTTTAAAGTTAAGTTTGACCAATACTAAACTATCCCTTTAAAACTATAGATACATAACACATGAACAATCTAAAAATAAAACATAAGAAAATGATAGATGAGTTGAAGATATGCCTCATTAACTGGCAAATATGAATACTCATATAATTCACGGGTCTATGTCTCTATGAATAAACAAGGCAAGATAAAATGAATACTTTGAATAGTGTCAATAATTTGGCAGCACACATATAGCAACTTTGGTAACACACTTTATAAAAGCAATTTGAGTTATTTACAGAACCTGGCAATTCATGCCAAAAAGATGCCCCAGCAAATGATTAAGAAATCTTTCTATAATAAGTCTTGATCTTTGGTAAAACCAAATAGTGGATTGAATTTTTTGTGTACTATATCAAATTCACCAGAACCTTTTAACAAAATGTCACAAATTATCATTAAATACATGTGAATAACCGATTTAGCTATGTGCCTCCACCCAGGATTAGCTTCATCATCCGGTGCAAATTATAACTATTCAAAAGAGTACATGTATTTACTTTCTCATCAACTTCTACAAGTGATAAAAATGTGACTATTTTGAGAAGTCACATTTCAAGTGAAAGTACGGCCAAAAAAAAACAAGGAAACTACACTCGTTTCAGCTCTACAAATTGGCAACACTGATGACACCACTGTGAGTAGCTATCCATCAACTTTGTACTCAAAATTTCATATTTTCTAAATTTTCCTTAAAGTTACACATTTCCACAGCTTTTAATCAGAGTATGTTCAGATTACTAATGACGAGTAGCTTTCTACACAACATGCTTTGACTATGGGGGTTAGAAAATGTGAAATTTTGTGCACAAAGTGAATTTAGAGCTACTCAAGATGTCATCAGCATTGTCAATTTGAATAGCCGGGAGTAATTTACTAGAAAATGTAAAAAAAAAAAAAGAGTAGTTTCCTTACCGAGTTTGCCCATTTCTTATTTTTAATTTTGTTCAAATTTGTCTCCTTTGATTGAAGCAGTGAAATTTCTAGGGTAGATTTCCCCTTTAAATCCCAGTAAAAAATTGTCCTTTTGATCGACCAAAGATTTAGTGGGCAGGTTAAGATTTCCCGGAAGCCTTGCATCTTACTTCAAATATAAAATCAACACAAAACACATGAACAATCTACAAAAAGCTTTTTACAATAAACTGATAGAATTGAGTTGATATGAATTATTAACAGGCAAATATAAATACTCAAATTTAAGGGTCTATGAATATAGAAGACAAGGTTATAAGAGAGTTTGGCAGCACACACATTGGCCCGAATTCACAAAGCAAGGTTTGAGCTCAGACCAAGGTTTGAGCTCAAACCTCCTTTTGTTTCGCCAAACCTCCTTTTGTTCTTTACAAACCAGGTTTGTAAAAAACGCGTAAAACGCGTCATATGACGTACGAAAACCAAGGTTTGAGCTCAAACCTCCTTTGTGAATTCGGGCCATCGGTTTCAGCATCCTTACAAAAAGTAGTAAATTTACAGACCTATACAACTTTGTCTTGCATTCTCAACAAGATGATGGCAATTCAATTAAAAAAGATGCACCAACAAAACTGTTATGTCGCTGATAAAGTTTCTCCATTATTAGCTGAAATGGTCAAATTTGGTTTCAATACGAGTTTTAGGATTTTTGCATTGCCCCTGAATGAAGGTATCTTAATCTACCTTGAATGAAAATTTGGTGTTCACTGGTTTGGTAAACGGCTCCCTCAGGTCTTCCACATCAACGGCCGCTCCCGATTTGGACAAAAGCAGTTTTTGTACCAACTGCTTCAGCTGCTGCTGCCCTTCCTCCAGCCTCTGCAGCGTACACAGTACCTGCACTTGAAAATTGCCTGAGAAGAAAAAAACAGACACATAAAATACATTATAATAACAGTTCAAGTCATTAAAAAGTTTGACAGCAAATTAATAGGATATTTTGGCGAGATATGTTTGATAGCTGAAAAATTTAGTCACTTCAGGAATATATCACCCAGCTTCAAAGACGACACCTGTGCAGCGCTTCCAACAAAGTATACATACTGTAAGGATTTCAAAGCGACTCTTC